AAGTAATAAAACCACTAAGACATCAAATAGGACACGAGATATGGATACCTCCATTCAAGACGAAGCTTCGGGTTGGTTGAACCAAATTAAACAGTTTCAATTTTTATGTTCTATTATAATTTGGTACGAAACTTTGAATCGCATAAACCCTGTTAGTAAATTAATGAAAAGTAAAGATTTTGACTTAGTTTCCGTCATTAAATTACTTTGAAATACAAAAGAGTTCTTTGAAAACTCATGTTCAGATGAGTATTTTACTTAAGTTCTTGAAGACGTTTTATTTCATGATCTTTATTAATATTAGTCCCATTGAATGTTGATTATCACCACATACCAGTGTTCTCTTACGTTCGAGTAGACTTCAAAATTTCATAAATGTAGTTCTATTCACGGAGAACGTGTGAGCAGAAATAAATTCATGAACAGCAGTAACAATCTACATAATGTTACGCGCCTTAGTCGACGGCACTAGCGCCATCTAGTCTCGAACCGAAGAACTAAACTTCTTGAAGTTGAAACTCGAACTCTCGGTACCTTGCGCGTATTTACTTGAATATTCTGGATATTTCCGTGCTAATTTATATAAATAGGTATACATGGGGATATGATTCCGAAAACGAACTTATGATAGTTATTAATTAAAAGTAAAGAAAATTAAAGTGTTAATTTAGGTAATTTTATCGGCAATTTTTACTGTCAAGAACCTCAAGCTCGTAACAATAAGATAGGCAGCAGCGCCTTCCTGATCATAGCTCATAATAATAAAAATTGCAGTTGACAACTCGCGTGCCAGCGTGGCAACTATGGCAAATATCCAACTTTATGGCGGTTTGTAGAGGAAGTCCAATTGATAAACGCGAGTAGAAATAATATATTAGCAATGAGGCGGCGAAAAAGAAACCACTAGCCCATTTCGTCCCGTGGGTGTCTTAAGAGAAGACAGAGGTAAACTGAAACAGGAGACGGATAGCATCTTCTCGATAACAGCACAAAGTAATAAAGAACTGCGGTTGCCGATCCAGTTGCCAAGCGTGAATACTATTGCGAATACCCGGTCTATTTGACATAGGCAATGGGGAAGCCTATGATTAGCGGTGAAAAGCAGCATCAAAGGTAAAAAAGTAACAGCTTAAATACATCCCACTACTGGGCTCAGGCCACAACAAATTTTAGGTCAAAAAGGAGTTGATTAAGTTGACTCCAATGCGGAATGACCGACTTCACATACCTATACCTAAAAATAATTTCTGAAATATTTTTTAACATCTCAGATATGCAGGTTTCCTGCGATGTTTTTCTTCACCACCGAGATCATGGTAAATCGGAACTTCAAATTGCAGTTAAAATATGAGTGGATTCGGCGCGGATCTCATTTGAGTTGCTTACGTACCAAATATGTAATATGTAAAAATAATAATAATAATTGCGTTTAGATCGGTTTGAATACCGGCTTATACAGATAACTTTCAAGATTCTATCAAAGCATTTCTACTCAATACTCATAGTTAAAGTTTATAATTTGCTTTCATTGATAATTATAGTACTTCTACTACTCTACTCACAAGAGCCTGTTAATTTACTCGTGTGAGCTATGTAACCGGGACTATCACAAACATTTTAATAGTTATGTCCGAAAATATGAAAGCTATCTTAATATATGACAAACTGTTTAAAAATCTCATTAAAACTAAAAAAGGCTGCATCAACGGTATCACGAAATATCCAATCAATTATGAATAAAAATCTTGATACAAAAAAGAATTTGGTGAAATATTGCTTTTTTATTTAATGTAGATTACAAATAATTCTTATTGAAAGTCAATATTTTACGTTACCACTAGTTCGAAAAAACCTCTGTTCTGGGAAGAACCAGCAAGAAACCCAGCGGGACTTTTTTTAAATAAATTTTACATTGCATTGACATTGTATGCAATGCAATAATTTTCACAAAATATTTAAAAAAAATATTTTAGAAACAGCTTGAAAACGACCACGTCATTCCCAGGGGTTATTATCAATTATGAATTAATTTATATCATAATAACCTTTTTATACAGTTTTTGTTTAATTAAATATTTAAACCTTGTAATAGAGAGACCTTGTATATTTTCTGGGACTTTGTTGTAATAGCGTATACATTGCCCCAATAATGAATTACTGACTCTGTGGAGTCGAGAAACTGATAGGTAGACACATAACATACTCAACTAAAGACCTTCATAAAAATAAAGAAATATATGCAATTTAGATCATACGGGTCATCTAAAAAACATTTTAATATTCTATACGACAATAACAATATTGATGAAGTCTACTTATCTATAACTGTAAATTTTTAGGAGTAAATAATGATACACATCTGAACTGGAAGTAGCATATTGATATCGTTTGTAAAAAGCTTCAACGTTTTGCTTTTGCTTTAAAAAGTATTTTAAAACTCACCAAGATCGTTTAAGAAGGCGTTTACAAGTCAGGCGTTCACAAGGCGTTTAGGAAGTAAACATGCAGACCTAATATATCAACCTCCCTGTATAAAAGATATGTATAAGAGAGATGTATGTATATAACATGAGCGTATTAATATATAACACATTACCTATGAATTTAAAAGAAAAAGAGATAACCTCTTAAAAAAATTACGAAATTGTTATTTCAAAATTGTTTCTATAACCTAAAAGAATATTTACAATGGAAAAATTAGTTTAATTATTTATGTGCTCCACTTAAAGATAGTTTTTGTTTTAAATATTTGCACGTTCGTATGTACACGTAACACAACATGTAGATATTTAATTCAAGACTCTGTCAACTGTGTTTTATGCAAATAAACATTTTGTATTTGTAACAATAGCATCTAGAAATAGCAATGTCGTGTTTAGTTGTTAATATCGCCAAACAATCTCTATTCATTGACTTGGTCAAGCTATATCTTCATTAACAAACACTGTTAAATTTTATGAAATACCGCCATTTCACTTTCAATAATCGACTAATTTATGATATTATAAATTCTAAGATATGACCAATACATATATAAAAATCTTTTTATTTAAACTATAAGGATAATAAGAGTTTTGTACTAATTGCAATTTTTATCAGTTTACCTACCTACGAAAACGTTCTATTGATTAAAAATTAAACTTAGAAACATCGTTAAATTTATGATTTTCGATAGATGTCACTATTATCTTTTTTAGAAGTAATTGTTACTATAAAATTTATTAATATCTACTAAAATGAAATTAAGAAAATGTGCATTAGAATTTACAAATAACTAATGAATTTAATTAAATAACCATATAAATGTTATATGTATTAATTAATTTGTTAGTAGAGGCAAAACGTCGTTACTTTTTGTATTTTACGTTAGATGGCACTGTTTTGAAAAAAATTATACAACAATAATATCGTAGATTATCAGCGTAGTTCAATTTATTACACACCAGTTAAAACTAATTTTAAGCTTTATTTATAAATATTTTATTTACTGTGATAAAACACATCAATCGTATAAAATAGAAACTAATATCTAAAGGAAAGAAAATACCTAACCCTCCTTTTTTAAGTTCCGTAATCGGATAAAAACTACATACAAACGAAATTTCATGGAACTCTGTTCAGTAGCTTTTGCGTGAATTTTTAATACACAGACAGACAGAGAGACGGACGGACTGACAGACAAAAATTCTAAAAACCGCTAATATGGCTTCAGTACCCTTTGTTTAGTCACCTGGACTTGTTTTTTCCAAAAAATATTAGAATTACAAACACGACCTTTCTACAGATTTATCATATGTATAGGATTAGAACTTTGTGACGGGTTGTTCAATCCTTTGTATATTTTTAAATAGTAATTTATCTCCTTAAAATGTTTTGAAATTTTAACAGATTTAAGATTTGGTTCAAATATTAGTATCGCACTCAGGATCCTTTTAACTATACCTTCTAACTATAGCTTTTCTAAATTAAAAATAATCTGCAATCCATGAAAACACGGAATAGATTATCTGGATTAGCAATGATTTCAATAGAACACAAGGTTTGCGACAGTATAAATTTATCAGATATTATTAAAGATTTTGCAGAACATAAGGTGCGAAGAACATTACTATAGTTACGAGGTAGGAGTCTCCGAAAAACTGTTTAATTTACACAATTTCGTTATTTAAAAAAATGATTGATTTGTTTTGTAGTAACATATTTGTCTTATTATCAGTATTAAAATTTAAAACAAACCATTTGCTGTGTCTATTTTATACGTACCGTATGAACCTTAACTCAAATACATATGAACCGATTGACCATAATAAACAATCAAACAGCTTGGTCCTAATCTTTTTAACTTCTGAAACTGTTTTGATGAATAATGTTTATTGTTCCTTTAGTTAAAGGGTCATCGTACATAAGCAAGATTAGCCCGAGACAGGGAAAAATAGCACAAGGGAAAAGAGGCCCAAACGCAGCAGTGAGTCGCAATAAGTTGAAATAAAGTTGAAAGGTACATAACTATGTCGATAAAAAGATGTGTCGATCTCTTCAGTGGTTTCTGTGAAATTCTTTAAAATACATACATTGTACACTTACTAACGAAGGCCCAATAGACTGACGTTAATCAGGTAGGTATAATCCCAATAATATCACGCATTTTATGTAGGTACTTGTACACTTAACATCCTCCAAGATAACTAGCTATGGTTTTGTGTATGTAAAGGGCGGCGAAAATTATATTTGTCCGGAGCGGCTAAATAGCTATATCGGGCCCTGGGATGTTTCACTTACCTCTTAGTTTCACTTACACTACCTAACTTTATAGTATAAAAATGAAACAATAGTTTTACCTAATCCATATTTAAAATAATTTATTTTACTATACACACATTATATTACAATAAACAGATTAAAATTAAAATAAATAGATACAAATTAGAAGCCAATTCCATACGGCCAATAATTGTACCACATAAAGTTGCTAAGCAAATGTTCAGACATGGCGCGTATTTCTAGAGATATGATACAGCGCCATATCTGAACATGATATGATTGTCGTCTTTCATTGAAATTAAATTCGCATAATGACCGTGATTCCGGTCCTTTGGGGGGACGGCACATGGCGAGTTCGCCATTAAAACCGATATTTTCTCGGCGTGAATTCTGAAATTAACTCTGTTCGAACTGAGAGATCCCGTCATCACTCTCTGGAAACTACTGGTCAATACCCACAACTCTTGCTCTCCTTTGAGGTTGTTGACAATTTTTAAGCCGCTTGCGAATTGCAACGTTTCTTGGTCAATGGCGACCGGATGGAAGTTCCGTGGGGAGAATTCCGTCGCGGAGTTCCAGCACCAAATGCTGGGTGGGTCCATCAGACCGAAGTAAAGGATACCGTTACGGTCCATAGCTTCCGCAGCTGATTGGTTAGGGCGTTCTTCAGCAAATACCTGACGACAAAAATAACAATAAATAATTAGAGTATAAACTAACACTTTAACAACGCGCATTGATCATGAACTGTAATGACCTTCGTGAGAACACTAGGTCATAATCATGATATTGTTATATTGTCGTTGGTTCTTATTTTTATTTTTATTTATATCAATTATTCTTTTTTTTTTCATAGAATAAAAATGACAAATGAGCACAAAGTCCATCTGATGGTAAGTGGATGCTGTCGCCCACAGACATCTATTCTCGGTTAAGAATCAAAACGTAGATGCGTTGTCACCCCTGATGACTACGATGGAATGCCTCGTTTCCAGTAAAAAAGGGTCTCGGGATCTCTACACTCACTATAGGAAACACAGCAACATTCAGCTACTATTTTACGCTAGTATTCTGTGAGAGCGTGGTCCTTCCCCGATCGAGCCGACCCATTCGTGCTACAACCATAATATAGCTTCAGCGTGGCTCTACCACGTATTTTTTATATGAGTGTAGAAAACTGCTGACAATTCATTTGGGAAAATGGGCATTCCATGTTAGTCCTCATAGATGACAACGCATCTGCATTTTGACACAGCATCCACTCCCAGGTAGACTGTGTGCCCGTTAGTTACCATTATTCTAGTGAGTATAAACACAAAGCGTGCGAAAATTTAAATATTCTCTCTTAACAAGTTTTAAGTTCATGATTAATCATGACGCTGGCCTGTAATTATACTCTTCGGAACCGGAACGCACGTGCACGTACTTTTTTTGGTGGCAGAAATAGTTGGGGTGACAAGACCAGACGAACTACTAGGCAAAGAGGAAGTCCTATGTCATAATTTTTGTATACTGTGACATTAGAAAAGTACTGATATTTACAGGTCAGGTTTTCCTATCACAAGCATCAGCTGAAATACTGCTGTGTAGAATAGAAGAATATAGAATGAATAAACTAAAAACTAGAATAAATAAATATTATGTATTTATTGTTTAAGGATTGTTTATGTGTGCAAATAAATATTATTGTAATTTACGCTAGTATTCTATGCGAGCGTGCAGCATGTGTCCTTCCCCATTGTACAGCCATCAGCTAATACATTACAGCTGAACTCTACTACGTACAAAATGGTGTTTTGTATGCGTTTGTATGCTCGCAACTTTTAATACCGATTCTTATGATCTTTGGAGCTAGATTTTACTATACATGATTAAAACTACTTTTACTACCTAAAAGCTGAAGGTACTCCGGGTTTAACAATGACATCGGGACGTCAGTCATCTCAGTCCCCCCGTGACCATGGGTGCTGGAAAGCGCCCGAAACGTCGGGAATTAAAAATAAAAGTAATTAAAAGCAAAAATAAACGCGATAAAATCCGTAAAAGTAGTTTTAATCATGTATAGTGTTCGCGTAAATATAAGAAATCATTATATAGATTTTACTATATAAAATATTGAAGTTTCCAATTTTTAGTTGTTATTATAACTGTCATTTTTTAAGTAAAATATTTAAAAAAAGAAACCCTTAATTTCATGTTGTTAACTCATTTAAAACTTACGTTCATTGATTGAGGTTGAGCATTCACGTCATCGATAAATGATGAGTTTCGTAGTATGCTGGTTCGCACTACGTTCTCAGTGGTGGAGGCAAGTGCGTGGAAGTACAAGTAACTCTCCTTGCCAGTGCGCGGCGGTGACAGTGCCATCCCCAACACACCATCCATCAAGTCAAAACTCTCTCCTGCGAATAGGTTAAGAAACAATATATATATATATATATATATATATATATATATATATATATATATATATATATATATATATATATATATATATATATATATATATATATATATATATATACAACATGTAACATAATTAACGCACTTTGAGAAAGTAGTTTGTTCAGAATCGTTTACTGAATCGATTCCTATCATTTTTAATATAGGTAATTTTTTATCCCAAAAATAAATAAAACTACGTAAATTACAGTCACACTAAATCTGTACAGTCAAAACAAACTGAAATGGACCGTAACTTAAGGCAATAAGACTTTTAAGAGTGCAGTTTTATTTGTATTATTACTAATTCTGTCATTCAATAAAAATAAAGAAAAATGAACTTTATTTCAAGCATGTTAAAGTCTTTGCGTTCGTGGATTTGTACTGTGACCACAACATTCTTCCGGAATTAGTAGTAACTAATTTGATGAATAGTCAGTGCATAAAAATGTTTAACTAAAAATTCAGTATATGTATAATGATTATAACATAATATACTAATTGGGGTGTCTGAGGGTGTGCGTTAATTACGTTACATATTGTATATATATATATATATATATATATATATATATATATATATATATATATATATATATATATATATATATGATATAATTTACATGCGCAATTTTACGATCATTAGCTAGAAAACATCATTCATTTTTACTTTATGGCACACTGTATGTGCTCTAAATTCAAAAAAAAATTATATTTGGAATTATATAATTTGAAGTTTTCCAACCCGTCGATCACGGCAGTCAGATATAACAGAGACTAGCGATCTGCGCAGTACGTCATTATAGTGCCCATGTACATGTGCAAGCACAGGTGCAGTATCTATTCCCTCAATCTCATAGTCCTATGGGAGCCCAATCCAACACGAGCAAAGAGAGATGGCTTCACGGGCTTTGCGAAGCACCGGATTGAAAAATCGTGACTCCAGCCTGCTACTGAGAGTTACTTGACAGAAAGTTCCCATAAGTGATTGTTTTTGAACCCGGGACCTCATTTTTTTATAGCATAGGGTGACAAACGAGCACACAGTTCACCTGATGGTAAGTGGTTGCTGTGGCACATAGACATCTATATCTATCCTCAATTACGAATCAAAATGCAGATGCGTTGTCACCCGTGAGGACTAAGATGGAATGCCTTGTATCCAGTAAAGAGGGTCTCCGGTTCTCTACACTCACCATACGAAACACAGTAGCATTAAGCTACTATTTTACGCTGGTATTCTGTGAGAGCGAGGTCCTTCCCCGGTCGAGCCGACCCATTCGTGCTGCAACTATACTAGTAATATAACTGCAGCATAGCTCTACCACGTATAAAAATATGATACCATCAATAGATCAACGAGGTAGACATAATAAGCATTACTCTATAACATAATAAATTCTATATGTTTTATTTTTTGTTAGTATGCTAGACCTCTAAAAAAGTTAATCGCACTGTTATTATGTGCCTGATTGATTATTGGAAGGAAACCTGCACATTCAAGAAATTAAAAATGTTGGATTATTTGCGGCGGACCTATTCTTAACCGTACCCTATAAGTAAATGATACAGTTCGTCAGATCCGGTTGTGTTGTGATTATCCCATTATCCCTGTGTATAGGATGCCTACTTCCGAAGCTATGACATATTATATATAGAAGCAGTCCGAATTGTCAGTGAATGGGCGAACCGGCGTCCATTTTTTGGAGGTTATTGTATTTGTGTCAGTTAATGTTTTGGTGTTGATGGTGGTACATGTGCTCTGTATGTCAAACATAAACTGTGTATTACGAGTACACAGTCCACATGATGTTCAGTTGATACCGTAGCATGGGCTGAACTGAATCTGTCATCGAATAAGATTCAAAATGTAAATGCATTGTCACCCCTGCTTCTTTATACGCAGCAGATTTAAGTTGCTATTGTATGTTTTTTGCGAGATCGAGGTCCTTCTTCGTTCGAGCCGACCCATTTGTGCTACAGCCATAGTATAGATGCAACGTTGCACTACCACGTATAGTTATATTGAAAAATATCCACTATATGTTTTTAATTTCTACCTAAGTCAACGATATTGCTCCACAATAACCTATACCATATCTAGAATGGCAGTGACAAACTGTGGTGCTATGGCCCATAGACATTTACACGTATCCTCAATTAAGTATCAAAATATAGATGCGTTGTCATCTTTGAAGACTACGATAGATTGCTCCGTTTAGGTTTTTTGTCTTTTTCATGAAATACACGCTGCTGCAGTCACCAGTTATCCATATTATTATTTACATATTTCCATTCCGTACGACTGCCAAGTTCAAAGTGACGCCATACGTCCAAACGGAAGTATCGTCAATGGTACCGTATCTGGATATAATTTTATTTGGAGTACATCCACTTGGAAGTATACTAAATGGACGTATCGTCAGTGGGTACCTTTAAACTATACACCTGAATAACTTGAAATTTAATATAGTTGCTTATTTCGCAATGTAGAAGCTCACTAAGAACAGATTTTACAATAGACCCATAAAAAAATTTCTTGATATTTTATATCTACGTTACTATCGTCCAAAGACATTTAAGGAGTATATTTAAATCTCTTTGTTATCGTCTATTATCGGTCGCCCAGCGAAGCGAGCGTTTATCAGCCAGTGTGTTATATCGGGCAGTGGTAGGTTAGGTACCAGTGAGTGTCTCTAGAAAGCTTATTTGTGCGCTACAAATATAACGTAATATCTCCTAAACGGTATTAACCGTTTTGGACTTCCGCAAATTGTCACCGTGGTAGAAATCACCCAGAAAACATCTTAGATACATACCATCGATGGTAAATGTTCCACGTGATGGAAAAGGAAAGGCCAATCGATGTGTAACCCTCCAGGTGCGATCGTTGGCGACGTCCAAGACCAGAAATCCGAATCCGGACACATCAGCTACGTACAGGAACGTGTCACTACAGTCGCCGCCGTTCCTTCTTACATCCACAACCTTGAGAATTAAGTTGTTATTTTTATTAATCCTTTTTATTACGTTTCTTGTTATAAAAGATAAGTATATGAAGTACCTACTAATTTAATAATTTATGTTTTTTAATTTTTATAGGTTTCTATCATCATCATCATCATAAAAGCCCTTCACAAGTCTACTGTTGAACATAGGCCCCATCTCAAGGAATGCCACAAAGCATGTATTACCAAGTCGTCACTCCATCTAGTGGTGGGTCGCCCCAAACTATGCCGATCGCTACGAGCCTGCCACTCGAGAACCTTCTTTCCCCATCGGTTGTCAGTTTTTCGAGTTATATGGCCGGCCCATTGCCACTTCAGCTTACTAATCCGTTGGGCTACGTCGGTTACTCAGTTCTATTATCGAAGTTGAAACATAAAGTATAATTTGTAATTAATAATATTACAAGCCATTATTCGATTAACAGCATTATTTGTTATTAATATCCAACTCAAAAATGTATATTAGCAGTCACAGATTATTCAAATGGCTCAGACTGACTGACGGTCATTCGCAGCCTCCCATCGCCAACTGCATTGTGGACCCAAGTTTGACAGCTGTATTGAAAGAGAGTGACAATATTATCTGCTCATACAAATATATATTTATATAAGATTTTACCTACAGATAAATACAGAATTCTCGCTGAAAATGCGATAAAATTCGCCTCGGTCCTATTTAAGCTTTATACGACGTTGTTTCCAAATTCTTCGCCTTTTAGTAAATGCTAATGCAACACGTGCATCAAAATCCTATTCTGACGAGCTGTCTGGCAAATCTAGAGGCAATATACGCCAACTCATTGTAGGTAACAATCTGTATAAACAATCAGCTCCAAAAAACACGTCTAGTAAGTTTCAAGTTTCGTATATTATCTATATATTCGTATCTGCGTAGTGTGTGATACTTTCAGACACAGAAATCGTAATATTATGACAAAAGAAGTCGCATAGACGCGTGACCTTGTCGCCGCTATGATGTGTTGACGAACATCACTCACCATTTTGTGATTTAGTTACGTGGGGAACGTCGTACGTGAATTTATGTTATTATAAATTTATAACGGTGAACTGCATCATAATCAGTTGTAAAAACTCATTAAGGACGTGTAATTCAACTAATAAAAGCATAACATTTCATCGATAAGTTTTTTTATTTACTACTAATTATCATTGTTTTAACTAATTTACATCTAGATGAATACTTTACTATGATATTTACATTTGTACACTTTCATTTATTACTTTTCGTATATATATATATATATATATATATATATATATATATATATATATATATATATATATATATATATATATATACCATTGCTGCTTTTATTTTACAGTAATACGCGACACACGCGACGTTGACAAACTCGCCAAGCAATGTAATGTGAAACATTAGATATCACTGTGCATTGCGTATGTTTAGATATGGTAAGATGTGGCGACATCGGTTTTGAAAGTAATCGAGCGGTAATTAATTTTTATTGTCTTATTATTACTATTTCTGTGCTTTCAGATAATTAAGTTTTAATATATTATTCGCGACTACGCAGATAAAATATTATTGTATCTGCGTAGTCTGTGACTCGCTTCACCTTTGAGTCCATTACACTCCATTTTATTTGTAATGGGAAATCACTATTTGATATTTTTTTAACAAATGATATTTTGTTCATTTGAAAGTTATTCGATCGACGCAAATGTACATAATCCTCCATATTTTGGGGTTCTATTTTCTTGAAACACAGGTGCTTTTCCAATAATCACACTACATATGTAATTTGATTTTTAAAATTAAAATTTAACTTTTCATCACCATGTTGACTTACTTCTGTCCTGATCAGCAATAAGTCAATGACGATAGTTTTTGTCAGCGAGCCTAGATTCAATCTTGTGCATATTATATTAGACACGTTGTATGACCTTTTCCACGTTGTACTTATGCGTACTTACAGTGAAGAAACGAAGTAGAAAAAGAATTCTTACGAATATATGCAAAACATTGTATTACACACATACACACACACACACACACACACACACACACACACACACACGCACACGCACACTCACACCCACGCGCACGCGCACCGCACGCGCACGCGCACGCGCACGCGCACGCGCACTCGCACGCACGCACGCACGCACGCACGCACGCACGCACGCACGCACGCACGAACGCACGCACGCACGCAGGCACGCACGCACGCACGCACGCACGCACGCACGCACGCACGACCACGCACGCACGCGCACGCACGCGCACGCGCTCGCACACGCACACGCACACGCACACGCACACGCACACATCCTATTTTCATATATAATGAAACCTGTTACAGAATGTAAAAATAAAACAGGTTTTCAAACATTATAGAAGATGAATTGATGCATATCGTTCCTTTTAAATATGAACTAAAAATAATTTAGTAAACTCTATTGTGTAAATTTTATATATAGTTTGATCATATGTATTAAATGTTTAAAAACAGTTTTTCTTAGTATTGATAAAACAAGTGTGACAAAAAAGCACACAGTACACCTGATGGTAAGTGGATGCTGTCGCCCATAGATCTAGCCATCTACCTTCGTCTAAGAATCAAAATTTAGATGGTCACCTCCAAGGACTAAGATGGAATGCCTCGTTTCCAGTAAAATGGTTTCCGGTTCTCTACACTCACCACACCACATAAATACAGCTGCATTAAGCTGCTATTTTATGCTGAACTGAACTGATGAAATCGCATCGTTTGCTCGTACTTATTGTTAAAAAATATGACGTGTCATGTAGTTTATTCCATTCCATATAGTAGTTATACTCTATGAAGTAGTTTTAAGTAAATAATACTTATTAACAATATATTTAATGCGAACTTTGCATATGTGTCTATTAATAGTTTTAAATAAAATGTTTAAGCCCGGCGATTGCCCGCGAGTCGCCTTATGAGGCTTTGACAGAATATTAGCGCTGTGGTAAATCAGATACGCAAGAGTAGTATACCTACGTATAGTGTTATATTACGTAAACGTGATAGAATCAGACTGCAGCTATACCGTCTACTACGACCTTGATGCTCCAATATGCAAGAAAACTGGTGATCCAATTGCATCATTTCTCGGGAAACTTATGGGTTTCTATGGGAACAAAGCTTCGTAAGAAGCGCTTTGTGCCAAACTCGATCGAAGGCCTTTGCTATGTCCAAAATAACGGCCAACACCCCTCTATTGGATTCGACTGCCTTCGCCCATCTGTGAGCAGGTGATCCTCAAGATACCTCATGAGTTGGATGTTAATAATGGATTCCATTATTTTGGAGAACAAGTAGCTGATAGAGATAGGCATGTAGTTAGAGGGATCTGAGTGGTCGCCATTTTTAGGGATCGAATGCAATGAAGCTGTCTTCCATGATTCCGGTTTATAAACCGGAGACCCTTTTTACTGGAACTTAACTTTAACTTTTGTACTCAGGGATGATAATACCTACATCTGCATTTTGATTCTTAATCGAATATAAATGTAGATGTCTATAGACCACATTATTTCCTTCCCTCAGGCGGGCTGTGAGTTCGTTTGTCACCCTTATTCTATTAAAAAATAGTACCCGGATGACCGAGCTTTGCTCGTTTTTTTTTTAAAATTACATTTAGGTACAATCATCAGTATGTGAATAATATTTTTTGATCTTATGGACATAATAGAAAAAACTGAACAGGTTATTTGAATAAAAAATCATCAGTGCCATTAGTTTAATTAAGTAAAATTTTGTATTTTTAAAACATACTAAAAAAGGGGATCGAAATAATAGATTTCCTCACAAAAGAAGGGAAAAAAAAATCGGACCGAAGACAGGACGCGAACCAAGGCATTATGATTTCGCGACCGCTCGATATCCAATTGAGCTATTAGGACCATTAACACAATGTCAAAATTTACCTTCTTATATTATAGTTTTTCATTGCCCGAAAACACGGACAAAAACACATTTTATCCGATTATATATATACATACATATATATATATATATATATAAATATATATGTATATAAGAATTGCTCGTTTAAATGTATGGGATAATTTTGATTATACTGAGTCGGCAGCAATTTATTAAGTTGTATTATTTTATTAGTTTCTTTTTTTTTTGTAATTAATTAAAACGGTCTTTCTTTCTAATAGATAAACCTTATAATATAGTGCAAATTCAACAATCTGGTTGCTCAATCAGGCAATGCTCGAATAAACTGATGATGGCTGTATCAATAAAGTTAAACATTACTTACGGGGGTAATAAAGAGCGACGATGGTATGTAGCTGGACTCTTTGACTATATGCCGGTATATCAACCGGTCACTGCTCAGGTCAAAGGCGAGCACTTGTGGGGGGCACACTTGCTTCTCTCCTATTTTCCCGGTATCCATCACCCATAGCCGATTGCATTCATCTATCTGCACAATAGGAAATTATTCAATCGTTAAATGTTTGGTTTGAAAATCTTCGTAGGCACGTCTGGTAGTGGATCATGTAACTTCAGAACGACTTGAACGAGGTCATGTTCACACAATATATTTGTTTTGCCAATTCAAGCGATGCAAAATCCAAGATTTTGACACATTCTTTATTTATGGATAATGATAATATATTTTATTGATTTAGTGTCAAAAAATAAAAATCACTAAATCTGAATCCGTAGCTGGCGCTCTGGTCGAGTTATGAATAAATTTTATATTTACACGGTAAATAGTTTTGAAAAAATTCAGAGTGAAACTCATCGCACCGTCCACCGAAAAGGGCAGAACAAAATTTGTCAACTGGTATATTAACACATACGTTACAGTGATACACAAGCATAGAATACTATAATACACAATATAATGGCTGTCAACTTTATTTTGTACGAGGTTTGGCGTCGCCAAACCCGATTCGCCGTGTTGACAGACAGAATAAATTTACACATTTTAGGCTTTTGATTAATGTTCAAGATCATCATTAAAAAAAATCGTTTAAATTTTAATACATATTTTTTTTAAAATAGGATGCAATTTGGCATTTTTAAATAATTTGCATGCGAAATTTGTAAACGACTGTAAATTCAAATTTGGAATTTGAATAATTTTAAAGAGGATTTGAAACTGTTTACGGAACTCGTCGCTGAAGTTTTATGTGAATGTTAACAATTCTCGATTAAGTTCTAATATATATCGACTGTACTTATTGTTTTTCAACATATTCGCATAGATGAGGATTCGCCTGCACATCTAGGATGATTGTTATGGTCCTTAGAACGAACATATAAAGTGGTCATAAAATTTGGAACTATTCTAAATAAAGTCGTGTCGCATGCTATTACGTTTGCATTACTGTTACTATTTTACGTTTATAACGCAATTGAAAATTTATTATTGAAAGTGGGCTTAAAGAAGTTGTTTGTGTTAGGGGTCTACGCCCCAGACATGTCTAAGCCCACTTATATCCGGGAGCAGTTTTGGGAAATGGTAAGGATGGTGTTAATGAAGTGTAAGGGAAATGAAAATATTATTATGCTAGGAGATTTTAATGGAAGGGTTGGGGTGAGGAGGCTTGGTTATGAAAGGATATTGGGAACGTTTGGTGATGAAAGTATAAATGAGAATGGTGAAAGCCTCCTCACCGTATGTGTGGAAAGGAATCTTTTTGTGACGAACACTTTCTTTCGTCATAAGAAGATTCACATGTATACTTGGGAAAGAGGTGATTATAGAAGCATGATAGATTTCATAACTGTGGATGAAAGAATGAGGAGCGCAGTGGTGGATACAAGGGTTTCAACCGGGGGTCCAACGTAGGGACGGACCACTACCTGGTCTTATGCCGAATTAGGGGTTTATTCAGACGTTGGCGGCAAAGGACATCTGTATCTACCACTGCGTTACAGCGTATAAGAATTGAGAGGTTACAAGATGAAGATGTGAAAGACAAGTACAAATGCAGACTGAGAGAAAATATAAGTAACTTGGATGAGTTGTGTGTGAATGAGTTAGACTTGGAGAATGTGTGGCATAATGTTAAGAAAGGTTTAGTGGATGCTGCTACCGAAGTATGTGGTGTTAAAAAGAGAACGTGGTGTTAATAAGAGAACGAATGAAAGGAAAGACAATACGTTATGGTGGGATGATGAGGTACGTATGGAAGTTGAAGCAAAGAAGAGAGCATGGCTAGATTTACTAGCGACCAAAGCTAGTAATTCTGGCGGTAAGAATGATGAGAATGAAAAAAAAGGCAGAGTTTAAACGTTTAAATAAGAGAGTAAAAGAATTAGTTGAAAGGAAAAAGCAAGAAAGAACGGATAAGAATGATAGAAGAATATCGGATACTTCCAGGCAAATGTTAAAATGTTCTGGAAACTCGTAAGAAATACCAGGGGACTTTCAAAACAGCCTAGATTGACTGCGATACGAGACGAGAATGGCTGTATCCTGAATGATGAAGTGTTGAGTCTAAAGAGATGGAAGGAATATTTTGAAAGCGAATTTATGAGTGATGAGAAGTGTGAACTAAATGAAATAGAAATTCCGAAAGAAGATGAAAGAGGTAGGGAGATAAGTATAGATGAAATAATGAAAGCAATGAAAAGCATGAAAGTAGGTAAGGCAGCCGGATATGATAGAGTTTCACTCGAAATGCTAAGGGCTGGAGAGGACGTGGTGGCAGGCCTGCTGTACACCTTGTTTAATTTATGTTGGGAACTAAAGCGGGTACCGGGGGACTGGTGCAAAGCCGTGATAGTCCCAATATATAAGGGAAAAGGGTCACAGCAGGACTGTAAAAACTACCGTGGTATCAGCCTTCTTAGCATTGTGGGAAAACTGTATGCTAAGGTACTGATTGAAAGAGTTATGAAAGAAACTGATGAAAAAATTTGGGATGTGCAAGCGGGATTTAGAAAGGGAATGGGGTGTACAGATCAAGTCTTTTCCATGCGCATGATCGCGGAGAAGTTTTTGGCGAAAAACCAAAAAGTTTTTTGTGCGTTCATGGACTTGGAAAAGGCTTATGACAGAGTGGACAGGGGTGTGTTATGGCAAACGCTGAACGCATTTAGGTTGAGCGCTGGTTTGATACAGGCATTAAAGTCTCTGTATAGGGACTCGAGTGCTTGTGTTAGAATCAACGGGGTCTACTCGGACTGGTTTGGCATCCATAAAGGTGTCAGACAGGGCTGTGTAGCTTCCCCGTGGCTGTTCAACCTATTTATGGACAGCTGTTTGGAAAATTTCAAAGTTGAAGAATGCGGGTTAAGAATGGGTGAGTTAACCATCAAATGCCTTTTGTACGCCGATGATCAAGTCATACTTGCGTCGTCGACGGCCGAGTTGCAAATGATGGTTACATTAATGAACAGGTCATTAAAAGAAAGGGGAATGAAAGTGAACGCTAGTAAGACGAAAGTGATGGTTTTTGAAAGAGATGAAAGCAAAACGGTATGTGAAATAAGAATAGAAGGAGAGTTAATTGAGCATGTGTATGAGTTCGTATATTTGGGATGTGTATTCAGCAGAATATGAAATGCAGGAAAAAGTAAATGGGGCTCTACACTCTATTCAAAATCAGAATGTGTCAAAAAAGGCACGTATGGCAATTTGCAGTGCTGTATTAGTCCCTACTTTAACGTATGGTAGTGAAAGTTGGGTGTGGCAGAAGAAGCACGAGAGTAGAATAAATGCAGTAGAAATGCGGTCGCTAAGGAGTATGTTAGGGCTGAACCTGAGTGACAGGGTGAGAAACTGTGTGATAAAAGAAGAGTGTGGTTTGCAAGATGATGCGGTGACCAGGATTAAGAAAGGAATGCTTCGGTGGTTTGGTCATGTAGAAAGAATGAATGCGGAAAGACTGACAAAGCAAATATATGTTGCAGAAGTGAATGGAAGAGTCGGAAAGGGACGTCCTAGGCGGAAGTTTGTCGACCAAATTGGCGATATACTAAAAACGGGCCAAATTAAGAGTACCCTTAACCGATGAGCATGTATGCGTAGGTATACGGATGTGGAAGAGGCGAGAAACGTATATCAGGATCGTGCTAAATGGAAGTCTGTAGTCTCTGCCTACCCCTCTGGGTGACAGGCGTGAGTGTTTATGTTATGTTATAAAATTTTATTGAAAATTGATACATTTAATGCTATGCGTAAACCCTGTATCTAAACTCGATTGGTGGCATCTATTGGCTGGACAAGACATGGACAAGGGCAATGTCCAATGAAAACGAAGTGTGGGTCGAAGAAGAACATCATGACTGAAAAACCTACGCCAAAGGTTTGGAAAGAGCGCCCGTTCCTTATTCAGAGCCGCGGCATCATAGATCCAAGTTGCCTTAATGATCGCCGACCTTCGAAAGAAGATGGCACTTTAAGAAGAAGAAGAAGAATTGGCTGCACAGAGGTCACATTATTTACTGTAGTTTTCTATTAAAATTTAATTAGAGAACACTAAGATAAGTTTCTATTCGATTCATATAGTTTTAGTGTCGTTCATTGTTATCAAAATATAATTATTTCATACTAAATAATAGGAAATGTTCAAAGTCTGTGAAACACTACGAGTACATCGCAGGTATAAGAGATCATATCTCATTGAGAACGTAGAAATATAATGCTTGAAAACAATGTCGAAAGATTTTTGACGAAAACTCGGCAATCTCAGCAATAAATTTGTCCCATAGTGCTGTAGTTAGTGCCGTGGTCAAAGTTGAAGTCAAAATCTTTAATTCAATTTATTTTATAAACTTTTATTTAAAGCCTTATATACGCACGAAGTATATAGGCGGACTTAATGCCTAGGGAATTCCATATAAGTCTACCTGGGGGTGATGCAGTGATACAATGAATTTAGTCTTGTTTAAAGCTTATGACACGTCATCGACTCAAACTACACCGGTTCGAAAAACCTTGTTTCCCAGAGATTATTCTGTTTTTCTCTGGGAAAGAAAAATCGACAAGAAACTCTGGTCCCTTTAATCTTTCAATATTATGTTATAATTTCATTTACAATTACACACATAATTTTCCTCAATATATTATTTTATTTTATAGTAAACTTTTATGAAGAAAATTACTTTAAGAAGTTTTTTAAATTTTGTAATCGGTTGTTGCTCTATGTTTTTAGATATTTTACTGCAAAATTTTACGATGAATGAATGTTATTTAATAAAAAGGCCTATCTTGTTTAAGACGATGTAATTTTAGAAAGCTCAAGCGTATTACCGCAACTCGTTCTACATTCAGAAGGCTACGTCATGATGCCACCCAATATTGCCTTTGCAACATATGAAAATTAGACAGTCCAAAATTGTAAGATTTTATCTAATGGTTCCTAAAGAATAAAATAAACAACGTGTACTCTGACAGCGACTTTTGAAAGAAAAAAATACGCGCGAAACCTTTCCAATAAAGCATTTGATGCTAAGTTCACATACACACATCAAGACATTACGGTCTAATGAGCGTTCTTCTGATCACAAATTCAAATAGGGTATGCATTAAAAAGCGTATTAAAACACATGTGTGCAGTTCACATGCGGTAGAAGTGAAAACATATTTTTTTTTTTTTAATAAAAACTTATTATCAATGTATACGAGATAATATGACCGCTGTATACTGTATTCTATCTCATTCTCTCGCAGGCTAAATCCTATATATATATATATATATATATATAACCCTATCGCCACAAACATCCAAATGCACGTGACGACACACGCAGGAAATAGAATAAGCGCAGATTAGTTAGCTAATTTCGATACTGCAATAACGGTAGTTGATAGATACCGCTGTTGATACGTTCAAAGATAACCACTTGAAAAATTTCATTTCCCACAAATATAGAGTATACATTACTAATATACATTACTACATGTTTAAACATTATACTGTTTTTAAAAATATCTATTTAAAATTGGAATTTCAACAATTTTAAAAACGATAACTGTTTACGGAACTCGTCGATGTAATATTATTTTAATGTTAACAATTCTCGATTGTGTTCTAATGTATCGACTGTACTTATTTTTTTTTCACTTTGCATATGAAAATAATGCTATTAAAAGTTTATTACCGGCACTTAACAAGGATATGTCCAGGTAGTACTTACCGCCACTCTGAAGACCGACGTCATCCCATTGCAGTTTAAGCCCTGGTTGTCATGCCATGCATAGTCAGGGTATGCTGATATTCGACCTTGATCATCCACGGTTCCGAGCGTCATAGGACGACCCTCGTCGAAGCGAGGAATAGTTACGAAGATGCGCGATCGCATCGCACCTATCAAAGCAAATAGAATCACTTAATACCCCTCTATCTAAGTCATTAAACAAACGACATGGTCGCCTATAACTATTGCAGCAGTTGTAATATTATATCAGTCTGTTTTTACACAATAATTTAATTATTTATTTAACGCTAGCTGTTACCCGCGGCTTCACCCGCATGGTCGCTGGGAAATGAACTATCCATTGCTTTTTGAATTGAAAGAAAACTGAGTTTCATAGATTTGTCAGAGATGCAGCCATTAAAAGGAAACTGAGCAAAATTGATTCGTCAGCCTATATAAATTTTTTGAAACGCAGCGTATAGGAAAGCATGAAAATAGCCTGTTTATTCCAAATGGAAATGGGATATTTTTTTAATTAAAGGAAACTGAGCATAATTATCCGTCAGGGATGCAGACTATTGAAAAGAAACTTTGCTAAATTGATTCGTCAGAAATGCAGTTTTCTGAATTGAAAGAAAACTGAGCCAAATAAAAGATCCGTCAGAGATGCAGCCTTTTGAGTTAAAAGGAAACTGAGCTTAATAGGTCCGTCAGAGGTGCAACATTAGGAATTGAAAAGAAACTGAGCTAAATAAGTAATTTTGAATTAAAAGGGAAGATCTGTGGGAATTCTGATTAATTGACTGTGGGAATTTTGGAAAAAACTAACTGAACACTATTTTAAGACGCTACTGTACATAATGTTATATGTTTTTCCATACGGGGGAAAGAATGTGGAGATTCTGGGCATTTGACACACGCGAACATGCTACATACAGCTGACCATGAGAGAAGCACGGTTTTTATAAGTTGACCCCCGCTACCTGTAACGTTTGCCATTGCGCTTTATTAATTGTCATTGCAAAACTGAACGCTTAATAGGGAACTGCATACTTTTGAATTGAAAAGGAAGATCTGTGGGAATTATAGGGATCCGTGGTATAATATTATTATTTTGTACTTTCTTCCCACACTAAAAGTTTGCATTGTCGTAGCATTATACCTAGTGCACTATTTTTGTTAAAGTTGCAGATCGGCGATTATTCCTGGGCTAGATTTAGAGGGAGTTTTAAAACAGAATGTGCAGTGCGGCCCCCGCTTAACAGCGTGGCGGCTATACTGGAAGAAGCCACGGCCACAGCAATGCTTTTATCTTTCCGTACTTGCGCTGATAATAAATTTAACAAAAATGTCTTCCCAGTTCCTCCAGGGGCATCTAAAAAGAAAAGTGCACCATTTCCAGATTCAATTTGTCCTAATACTTTGTCAAAAACTCGTTTTTGTTCGGGAAGCAAGCGGGGTACAAATTCGGCTACTTGCTGCTGCAAAGCTGGTATATCGTAGTTTGTTTCACGTATAATTTCATTACTTAGTTCATTTTCGGTTGTTCGCTGCGGGCTTATCATTCCAAAGTCGCTTAATTTTTTGCCTACCATTGCCATTACTTTATCTACAATTTTTCTAAGTGCTTCATTATAAATGTGTTCATTGTATGTCATGTTCGCGTGTGTCTGCTGTAACTTTCGCAAAATATCTTCCGCCATGTACTCTTTATATTTGTTCCACAATTCATGTGCATTAGATAGCCCGCAAGATGATATGGGAGTTGCATAAAGATCCCTAATTTTCAGTCAAAAGTTTGCTACACGAAAAACAACACGCCTATAGCTTAGGTAAATCAACAGAATCGGCACTTCACCAGGTAATAACAAAGATTGAAGAGGCCATCCAAAACAAAGCAATATGTCTAGGCTCCTTCATAGACATAGAAGGTGCTTTTGACAGAACAAATTTCTCCAGCACAAAAGGTGCCCTAAGTAGACATAATGTTGAACCGGCACTGATTGACTGGATAGTAAAAATGCTCAGTACACGAACAATAAAGATTGCTTTTGCACAATTTTTGTTATTGTAATACCGATTCATTCATAACCACATATAAGAACTGTATTCATTTCCGTTCAATAAATATTACTAAGGCTTAATAATAAGGCTTACTAAGAACTGTTTCTACCACAGTTAAGTAATAGTTAGGGTGAAAGCGTGACAGGTGATGATAGTATTTCTGATCCATACTTATAATCACGCCTGTAACCCTTGCGGGGTAGGCAGAGCATCAACGGATTACTTAATATCGTCTGCGAGGTTATCACCTATTCTGTGAATTACAATGCACCAAAACGTTTGAAGAAAATCAGCTGGTGAATTTTATGTTTTTTATCGCTCTCTTCCCGGTCTTGCGTGGAAAAATACAGATACATACATTTTTTATCTTAATTTTGATAAAAAGACATAATAATCCAGATATTCTGACCTTCTGCGTCGTTCGTCCATCGTAGCGTCGTCCGTCGGCGCCACTTAGCTGAATTTAATTTTGCAACATATACGATTTTCCCACGGGAATGATATGTTTTTCCGAGGAAAAAAAGTAACCTATGTCACTCTACAGCCACCAAACTATCCCCATACAAAAAAAAATCATGCCATGCCGACGCTCTGTTGCGACGTGAAAGAACGACAAACATACAAACAAACAAACAAACACACTTTCGCATTTATAATATTAGTATGGATATGGATTATTGCACACTACACAAAAATTACAGAAATTGTATATACAAAAGAACCATTGAATGGACAGAATTGCACGAAGATAACAGAGGCAGGGTAAATTGGTGTGATAGAAAAAAAGAAGAGTAAAAAAGAATACACACACACACACACACACACACACACACACACACACACACACACACACACACACACACACACACATATATATATATATATATACATTCATATACTACAAACATATGTGTGTATATATGTGTTAAGTGTATAATATGTATGTATAATATTATGTATTTCATTATTACATTGTCTCATATACGATATATGATACTTAACTTATACTATTAATATGTACTTGTTTATCTACTATTTATGCATTAACAATTATCTCCTTCACCAAGGTTTGCCTAGAAGAGATCGCTGTTAAGCTATAACGCCATTTAATTATACATAAATTTATAAACTTAACTTTGTTGTGTTTTTTTAATATTTTGCTTGCCATAAAGAGTATAATTAAATTAAATTAAACACATATACATACATATAATATATTGAATAATTTGATAAATTAAATGCAATGAATATATATGTGATGTAAACTCGAGTAGCTTTCATCATAGTCATCGGCGTTGTAAACTGCTGGTTGAGGAACTTTAGTGTGCATTAAACGATTTTGCGATCAGTACAATATGGATTCCATTAAAGGAGCGGGTCTTCCTCTTAAAATACGTCAAAAGACACACACTTAAGTACCTACGTGCATCTATAATTATGAGCCAGGCAAAACTAGTTCAGAGGCAATATGATCGAACCTATAAAAATTTTAGATCTCATCCTCGGAAGCGTGCCTAAACCAAATGCATAATGTCCATGGTTTAGGCATAATGCCTTAAACCAAAGGCACGCTTCTTGCAAAAACGATGTCAATTTCTTTTATGAGTACTTTGAAACGAAATGAAAAACATATGGCTTTCTGGCGATCGGCGACTTTCAGCATATTAAAAATTACTCTAGGCTACCGACTAATAACCGGGTTCATGCGCTGCCTTTCGAACAAAACTAGGTGCAACATGATATACCGATCGCAATCAGATCGGAATATTATTTAATTCAGCACAGACCCGGATCCGATCAGGATACCCTACGATTTGGTTAGCGTAAATACGCGCTTATACGAGTACAGAAACACCTACGTTGAAGCTGGATAATAGTTTAGCCGATCGAACACTAGACTTTTTTATTCAAAATTGAAAATTCACCTTGTCTGTGATGCACGTCTACGTCAATCGGAACTGAGTTGCCAGGTACATAATATCTTTTTGCGATGGCAGATCTTTTGGCCTCTTCACTAGGAAAAACGAAATCTAATTCGGCCCATTGCCTAACGACTCGAAGTTGACTTCTTGCAACTAACCCTGGCCAACAGCACGCAAGGCAGTATGATAAAAGAAAGAATCTCTCAATGCCGTGCGCCATTTCCCACTTATATATTTGTAGCGTCAAGGGATCTGTAAAAAAAATAACAATTTTAAACATATCGTTACTATAATACAACTTTTTGTTAATTTATATTACTTCAGTAACCACTTATAGCACGAATGGTCAATACGACAGAGGTATGTCACGTTCTCACAGAATACCAGCGTAAAATAGCAGCTTAACGCTGCTGTATTTCGTATGATGTAGAGAGTGTAGAGAACCGAAGACCCTTTTTAATGTAAATGAGGCATTCCTGTTTGTCCTCAGTCAGACAACACATCTACATTTTGATTCTTAATCGAAGATAAATGTAGACGTCTATGAGCCACAGCATCCACTTACCATCAGTCGGACTGTGTGCTCGATAGTCACCATTATTCTGTAAAAATTTAAATCCATAAGTTCATACTGCATAGATCGGAACAAAAGTTAAATTTTAATCTATGGTAACCGCGGTTAACTATGACATATGGACGTTGAACATCTCAGTCCTGCCCGTGACCATGAGTGCTGTAAAGCGTTCGAAACGTCGGGTATTTAAAAAGTTAAATATACGCGATAAATTCCGTAAAAACTAGTATTATTTCAATGTGTAGTGTTCGCGTAAATGTAAGAAATCATTATGCAATGAAGTTTTTAATATCGTTATTTAGACGACTTCGAGATTGTGATATATCTTATGGTGGCCAACACGGTCAGTTCAACTGATCAGTTCAAACTAAAACTGTTGATATTTTTTAAAATAATGGATTTTCAATATATCCATAAATAAACTTATATGTCTGACAATCCGACATTAATATATTTATAATGATCGATATATCAAAAATCTACTATTTTAAAAAATATGAACAGTTTTAGTTTGAACTGATCAGTTGGAATGATCAGTTGAACTGATCGTGTGTGGAGTCCATTATTTGTTCATTCCAAATCTTAAAAATAACGTTTAAAAACTAAAAACCGACTTAAAAACTAATAAGAAGTATAAAATAAGAATAGAATTTAAAAAAAAACTAAAAAGTCGTATTTAATTTTTTATTTCGAGTTAAAAACAAATTTTAGTAAAATTTACTAAAATTCGCTTTCAAAACTTTATGTTTACTGTATTTTGAAATAAGAGTATATGTATAAAATTAGTTTTATATAAATTTGATTATCATTAACAAGAACAGTAACATACCCGCATTAATGGTTTGACGCCCACCGAGTATAGAATTATCTTGAAATAAAAACCAATTGCTGACTGTCAGTCTCCATAAAACTCGAAAACAGTTTGAACGATTTTGATCCAAAAAATGTTTCGCGTTTGAGTAGGTGGCGCTGTAGTCCTGATCTAGAAATCACTCGTGCGAAGCCGTGGCCTATCGCTAGTATTAAAATATAAGCGAAAAAAAAATAACAAAACTGATCGACTTTGTAAGATACGAGCTACATCAACATCACCTTAGTTAAACTATGCGCGAACTGTAATGAAATCTGTGAATTATGTATATCAGCCATTAATCATTAATGATGACGTCATAGTTTTAAAAAATACTTCTGGTGCAAATATTCCGTTATATAGAATGCATCACAAACAGTGATTAAATTAAGAAATATTTCATTTCATCATTCTTCGTCGACCCCTTAAAGATAGATCTCCAGATATAAGTTTATCTCACAGGTGGAACAGGTAACCCCGGTGGTAAGTCGCAAACGGTAAAAATCATTAGGCATAATCATCTGTCTTCATCAGTTTGTTTCATCAAATTGTTCTGAAGGATATTATTATTGTTATCTCTCATAGGATTTTTCATAGCATTGGGTGATAAACGAGCACACAGTCCACCTGATGGTACGTGGATGCTGTGGCCCATAGATATCCACATTTATCCTCAATTATTAGGAATCAAAATGCAAATGCGTTGTCACCCCTGAAGGCTAGTTGGAATTCCTCGGTTCTAATAAAAAGGATGGAGAATTTGTTGTGTCGCCATTTATTAATATATTAAACTGACACTCTTACAGGCCATTTTGAATCTATTATAAACAAAATTGCTTTATCGATATTTGTTTACGAGCTTTGAGTACTGAAAACGCGTCGTTTCTATTAATTAATTTGAGTAATTAATTTTTAAAAAATAAAAAACAAAAAAAAAATAAACCGAAAAGTTGAACCGAAGTTTGGTCACACCAAATTACAGACCATTTTATTATAACTTTTTTTTTTAATTTACCTTAGTCTTTTCTGGCACTGTATGTATCTAAGTAAAATTTGGTTCCATATCGTGCTAGTTACTGGGTGTATAGAAAACCCTAGGATCAATAAAATTTACCCGCAGTAGAGCTACGCTGCGCGTATATTATGGTGATAGCACGGATAGGTAGTTCGACTGGGGAAGGACCACGCTCTCACAGATTACCAACGTAAAATACCAGATTAATACTGCTATACTGTGTTGCGTATGGTGAGTATAGAGAAACGGAGACCCTTTTCACTAGAAACAAGACATCTTAATTCTCAGGGATGACAAAGTATCAGCATATAAAATTTTAATCAACAGCATGCACTTACCATCAGGTGGACTGTGTTGAGCCCACTTTAGTAATTGTGATTAAAGAAGATACATTGCATATTTACAATCACGTGCCCTTTAAAATTCGTTGCTTATGGCTATTCCAATTAAAGCATTAAATTGGTTTTAAAAATACGACATCAAATGTGCATCTTTTTAATTCATTTTAGCATAAAAGGAGAGTTCAAGCCGGAGCCAACATTTAAGCATACTGTTTAGTGACACACAAACACAACCTTAAATGTATAAATACATATGAATATATAATTAAATTACCATATCGACTTAGTAGTTGCTCGCAAAGTCTGTATTGTTGCCCATGAACTGGTATCATCTTTAGTACATATAATCACTAATAACACTTATGAACACCAGTAATGCGTAATTGAGTCTAACACATCGTCACTATCAAATAGCACTCGTGAATATTTGTCCTGAAATCTTTGCTTAAATTTAAATATTTTAAAAATATATTGTTACAATTTGATAAGACAAACTGCAGAATGAACAATAGAATTTAATTCTTGAAATATTTCTGCTATAAAATAATATATGAAATATCAATTGATTAACCCTAAAATATCGTGCTAAGAATTTTAAAAGCGATCTGTTCGATTACCCACTAAATAACAAGAGAAATGTCTACAAATTAAGTATATTTTTTTAATATAACGTTTTTAAATCTGATTGTTAACTATGTTCAAAATATCAAGTCTCCGTTCCTCCGTTTACCAGACCTTACTCTAGCCTAAAAGACACACTAAAGCGAAAATTATAAAAACGTGATTAAATACGCTGTGGTTACCGAAATTATATTTTAACGGGATTCTACTTTTAAAAGTACGTGCACTTCGCACGTTGATTTTTATTTAAAAACTTATTTCTGTGGGGCGGTCCCCACCCATTCTCAACACATCGAATGACCGTATCTAAACAAATATTATTTCATTAATACGATGACCTCTTCAAACTAAATGTAAACCGTTTCTCCGTTTAAGTGTCATTACACTTTTTGTTACAAATGAGGGTCTATTAAAAACACGTTATTTACTTTTTTTGTTCAATAAAATAATAATAAACAAATTTAATTGTACTTTACTTTGTTACAGCAATAATAGAAAAAGTTTGAAATAAAATAGCTTCCTTGACAATTTTCGACATGTTTTAATATAACTAAAGAATGAAAATAAAAATTCTATAAAATATTGCGTTCAAAAATTTTAAATCTTTATCACCTATATAGATAGCGTCTGCTTGCTAGAAAAGGAATGGTGGAAAATTCTGTGAGCAAGACGTTTAAACGATGACGGGTTCAAATTCAATACACTCGTTGTGGATATACCACGCCTTCGAAGTAGACACTTTGCTTCGCTGTTTGACAATACAATTTCCGAATAAAATATGTACGAGTATATATATAAATTTTTTTAATGAAATTATCGTTTTTATTTAGCTGTACTAACATGATGGAGCGTCATCATCATCATCATCATTACAGCCCTTCACAAGTCCACTGCTGAACATAGGCCTCCCCCAAGTAATGCCACAAAGCACGGTCCTGAGCCACCTGCATCCATCGACTTCTTGCATGTCTTACCAGGTCGTCACTCCATCTAGTGGGGGGTCGCCCTACACTACGCCTACCGGTACGAGGCTGCCACTCGAGAACCTTTGTTCCCCATCGGTTATCGGTTCTTCGAGCTATATGGCCGGCCCATTGCCACTTCAGCTTACTAATCCGTTGGGCTATGTCGGTCACTCTGGTTTTACTGCGGATATCCTCATTTCTGAGTCTATCACGCAGTGAAACTCCGAGCATAGCCCTCTCCATAGCTCGCTGAGCGAGCTTGAGCGTCCTCATACGGCCAGCGGTGAAGGACCACGTCTCAGATCCGTAAGTCATCACTGGCAACACGCACTGGTTATACACTTTAGTTTTCAGAGATTGAGGTATACCTGACGAGAAGATGTGTCGTAATTTCCCGAACGCTGCCCAGCCGAGTTGAATCCATCGATTGACCTCTCGGTCGAAGTTGGACTTACCTAGTCGGACTATTTGTCCCAGGTAAACGTACTCGTCAACAACTTCGAGCATAGTGCTCCCAACAACTACCGGCATAGGTGTGACATGGACATTAAACATGATCTTTGTTTTGTCCATGTCACTTAAGACCTATCCGTTGGGAGACACCATTGAGGTCATTGAGCATAGTGCTAAGGTCCTCCAGCGATTCTGCCATAAGGACTATATCGTCGGCAAATCGAAGGTGAGTTATGTACTCGCCATTGATGTTAATACCGTATCCTTTCCAGTCCAGTAGCTTGAAAACGTCTTCCAACGCAGCGGTGAAGAGTTTCGGGGATATTGCATCACCCTGTCTTACACGTCTCTGCAGTTGGATAGGTTTCGTACTCTGGTTCTGTACTCGGATAGCCATCGTA